TGTGTGTGTGTGTGTGTGTGTGTGTGTGTGTGTGTGTGTGTGTGTGTGTGTGCTCTCTCTCAGACTGTCAGAGGAGCTGTTCAGTACTTTGATTCGTCGAGGGTGGAGTGTGTGATCCAAACGTGTCCTGAGCTGCTGAAGAGAGGTAAACAACACGATGCCCATATAAGGGCAACAACATGGCCGTGCGCACACACACAAGTCTCACAGGAAATAAAAACATAAATGATATCAGTAAATGAACACTGGGCTCACAATGTATAAAAAACAAGAATATAAACCCTTTTTTCTTTGTTTACAAACTTGATGAATAAATAAAAACATTAAAATCAAACAGTGTTTTATGTGTTCCTGTGTAATTCTCTGGATGTCCAGCAGAGGGAGTGCTGATGATCTCACTGATGTTTCACTCTGTGTGTCTTTGGTCATGTGATGTCACAGACTTCCTGTCCATGTTCCCTGAAGCCCCGCCCTCTCAGATGATGGCGGTCACAGTAACTCAGAGGACGAAAAACGACATGAGCAGCTGGAGTTCAGAGGTGGAGGAGGAGAGGGAGGAGATGCTGCACACGGTCAGTCTTTGTCATTCCTGATGATTGTTCTGTTTAATATGTACAGACCGAGTGTTATGATTGGATAAGAGGCTTCCATAAGCGCTGATACAGAGAACCAGATCACTCAGCAGGTGCAGTCAGGTAACATTCAGCTGCAGGATTTAACTCACTGCATCATAACTTCCAACAAACAGGTAAATGTTCTGCTAACTAAGCTGTTCTGTGGTAACCACGGAAACAACCAGAGCAGCAGAGAGCAGGATAATGTTTGTTGCCAAGCAACCGGAGCTCTCAGTTGAAAAGAGTTCAACTTCAATGGCACTTCTCCCTCACCGACCAATCAGAATCAAGAAGGGGCGGGACCACTGATATCAGCTTTGTCAACAACAATGGTGGAGGAGAAACCAGTGTGAAAAGTTTCACGACTGAAATGTCTGAAATACAAACCGTTAAAACTACGATCTGAGAGTCTAAAACGTTCTGAATATCAGCGTGTCCTCCAAACAGAATGTTGTGTATTGTGAGCTATCTTTGTGTACTAACAGTGAACTTCCTGTTTCCTGTTGTAGTTCATTGACGGGGCTCAGCAGATCTGTTTGGCTCTGCAGAGTGAAGGATTCTGGGCCGACTTCATTGACCCGTCCTCAGGCCTCGCTGTAAGACCCACACCTCTCTGTCTGTTGTCATGGTAACACTGTTAGAGGAAGAACTGCACCTCTCTGTCTGTTGTCATGGTAACACTATTAGAGGAAGAACTACACCTCCTGTCTGTTGTCATGGTAACACTGTTAGAGAAGAACTACACCGCCTGTCTGTTGTCATGGTAACACTATTAGAGGAAGAACTACACCTCCTGTCTGTTGTCATGGTAACAACAGGTGTGTACTGACCTCAGGTGAGCACTGACCTCAGGTGAGCACTGACCTCAGGTCTGTTTCTCTCAGGTGAGCACTGACCTCAGGTCTGTTCCTCTCAGGTGAGCACTGACCTCAGGTGAGCACTGACTTCAGGTCTGTTCCTCTCAGGTGAGCACTGACCTCAGGTCTGTTCCTCTCAGGTGAGCACTGACTTCAGGTCTGTTCCTCTCAGGTGAGCACTGACCTCAGGTGAGCACTGACTTCAGGTGAGCACTGACTTCAGGTCTGTTCCCCTCAGGTGAGCACTGACCTCAGGTGAGCACTGACTTCAGGTGAGCACTGACTTCAGGTCTGTTCCTCTCAGGTGAGCACTGACCTCAGGTGAGCACTGACCTCAGGTGAGCACTGACCTCAGGTCTGTTCCTCTCAGGTGAGCACTGACCTCAGGTGAGCACTGACTTCAGGTCTGTTCCTCTCAGGTGAGCACTGACCTCAGGTCTGTTTCTCTCAGGTGAGCACTGACCTCAGGTGAGCACTGACTTCAGGTCTGTTCCTCTCAGGTGAGCACTGACCTCAGGTCTGTTCCTCTCAGGTGAGCACTGACCTCAGGTCTGTTCCCCTCAGGTGAGCACTGACCTCAGGTGAGCACTGACCTCAGGTCTGTTCCTCTCAGGTGAGCACTGACTTCAGGTCTGTTCCTCTCAGGTGAGCACTGACCTCAGGTCTGTTCCTCTCAGGTGAGCACTGACCTCAGGTCTGTTCCCCTCAGGTGAGCACTGACCTCAGGTGAGCACTGACCTCAGGTCTGTTCCTCTCAGGTGAGCACTGACCTCAGGTGAGCACTGACTTCAGGTCTGTTCCTCTCAGGTGAGCACTGACCTCAGAACTATGACCTTTTTAAAAAATAATAGCGAGCATATTTATTGGATTTCTAAATTTCCTGATCTGATAAAATGATTCATGATTAAATCTGGACGGTTAAGGGTCACTTGCGTCCAGGTGAGAACAGGTAGGCAGGCTCAGCCTGATCGTCCTGAGGACCGAGGTCAGACGCTCTCTGAGACACATGAGATGTGTTTAATATAAAATACGTTGAAGGTGATGATGATGATGTTTCTCCTCCTCCTCAGTTCTTCGGCCCGTACACTAACCTCCCGCTCTTTGAAACGGACGAGCGGTACGCACAACTTGGCTTCCGTGTGGATGACCTGGGCTGCTGTAAGGTCATCCGTCACGCTCTGTGGGGAACCAACGTGTTTGTGGGGACCATATTAACCAACGCACCGCCCAGCAGTGACATCATGAGGAAGCTACAGGGCAGCTGATCACACGGCTGTGACATCATCAAACCTGTGTGTGTGAAACATGTTGGTGTTCCATAGACTGATACACACACACATTTTAGATTTTTTAAATTAGTTTCAAATGAATAAAGTGTTTTTATGATGAAATGTGACATCACCTGAGTCTTTTATGAAACAGCTTCTGTGACGTCACAGCAGTAGCTCTGCTGCTAAAGCGCCCTCTGGTGGCTGATAACAAAGTCACAAAAATACACTGGCTGGAAACCACCGAGTGACGTTTGGCAATCACAGGAAGTTGAGTGACTCCTTCAAAATAAAATAGTATTTATCAGGTAAATCCAATCAGCAGCCTCTGGTGTTTAAAAATGAAGCTGATGTTGAAGTGTAAAATCCTGCAGTTCCTGGAGTGTCCACTAGAGGCTGGCTGCAGAAGCACAGGAAGTCACATACACACCCATTCTAAAAAGTCTGTTTTTACAGCAGAGATGAACATGTTTACAGCCTGGTTCAAAAAACCAAATAGGTGTGATTAGCTCATGTCTGGATGGACACACACTGTACGGGGGGTGAATGTTTTGATGACTCATCAGTTTTGATTTGATGAAGGATAAGAGTTATTCACAATAAGGCGTGTAGCTGACCTGATTGACAGGTGGGCGCGGTGTAACGGTTTGTCAGGAGGTTTAAAACCCGCCTCAGCTCCAGCTCTCAGCCTGTCGTTAGGTTGACTGAAAGTTAGACTGAGACAGCATTTCCAGCATGGAGACCGCCATCGATGGGACTCCAGCGCCCCCTGCAGGAACAGACGGGGGACGCCACTCAGGCCTGGTCCATTATTATTTACAGTCTGTGGGTAAAGCAGGTGAGGCTTTGAGTTTGGTTTCCCCTTCACTATAAGCATCACCTGATAAAGGATAATAAATGAAGTTTATAATTAATTTGAACTAAGCATTGAGGATACTAAATATTTAGTTCAATGTGTTTCAGTGACCTGTTGAATTAGCCTCACCTCTTAGCATGTTAGCTGACCAGGTTACCATGGTAACCATGTTCAGTCATTAATCACGTCTAACGTGTTAACAATTTAAATAACCGTAGATTACTGATGACATCCCTGCGTTGTTTATTTGATACAGAAAACCTGTTTATATTGATATACTGTAGAAAACAACACGTACATGTTACAGCAAAGAGAGAAGATCTCTGCTTTGACCGCAGGGGGGCGCCAACATCAACACAACAAACACAAGTCCTCACGTATGGTCCTCACAGGAAGTGTTATTCACATGAAGAGTCCAATACAATGTTTGAATAACTAAATGAATATTAATGATCCCTCAACATTCAGCACATTCCCTCACCTTAGAGTGATTCAGATAAATACAGCAGATCAAATAAATAACCAACATTTCAGGAGAAAATGAGATACAGAGGTCAAAATAAATATAAAATACAATCTGTCATTCTAAAGGCCAACATCGTTTTTACTGTATCCGGAGACTTTTATTGTGAATGGACCCACAGGAAGTGTCTGTGACGTGTGTGTGTTCTTGAACGTCACGGTGTGTTTGTCGCACTGTGAATATTAAGATCTGTCGGTCTCTCCGTGTTTCTCCGTGTTTCTCGGTTTCTCCGTGTTTCTCGGTCTCTCCTTGTTTCTCGGTCTCTCCGTGTTTCTCCGTGTCTCTCCGTGTCTCTCCGTGTTTCTCGGTCTCTCCTTGTTTCTCGGTCTCTCCGTGTTTCTCGGTGTTTCTCGGTTTCTCCGTGTTTCTCGGTCTCTCCGTGTTTCTCGGTCTCTCCGTGTTTCTCCGTGTTTCTCGGTCTCTCCGTGTTTCTCGGTCTCTCCGTGTTTCTCGGTCTCTCCGTGTTTCTCGGTCTCTCCTTGTTTCTCGGTCTCTCCGTGTTTCTCCGTGTTTCTCGGTTTCTCCTTGTTTCTCGGTCTCTCCTTGTTTCTCGGTCTCTCCGTGTTTCTCCGTGTTTCTCCGTGTTTCTCCGTGTTTCTCGTCACAGCGGAAAAAGACGGTAAGTTAGCAACATTAGCATTTTTAGCCGACAGAACTTTATACCAATGTTAACTTGAAGCTAGCATCCTCTGTATGCTAACATGTTTACAATCAAAAGAAACTGATTAATAACCATCAGGTGTGATATAAACCAGGTGTGATTATAATGAGCAGGTGTGATATAAACCAGGTGTGATATATAAACCAGGTGTGATTATAATGAGCAGGTGTGATATATAATGAGCAGGTGTGATATATATAAACCAGGTGTGATATATATAAACCAGGTGTGATATAAACCAGGTGTGATTATAATGAGCAGGTGTGATATATATAAACCAGGTGTGATATATATAAACCAGGTGTGATTATGATGAGCAGGTGTGATATATATAAACCAGGTGTGATTATAATGACCAGGTGTGATATATATAAACCAGGTGTGATTATAATGAGCAGGTGTGATATAAACCAGGTATGATTATAATGAGCAGGTGTGATATAAACCAGGTGTGATTATAATGAGCAGGTGTGATATATATAAACCAGGTGTGATTATAATGAGCAGGTGTGATATATATAAACCAGGTGTGATTATAATGACCAGGTGTGATATATAAACAGGTGTGATATAATGACCAGGTGTGATAAATAAACCAGGTGTGATATAATGACCAGGTGTGATTATAATGAGCAGGTGTGATATAAACCAGGTGTGATTATAATGAGCAGGTGTGATATATATAAACCAGGTGTGATATATATAAACCAGGTGTGATTATAATGAGCAGGTGTGATATATATAAACCAGGTGTGATTATAATGAGCAGGTGTGATATATATAAACCAGGTGTGATTATAATGAGCAGATGTGATATATATAAACCAGGTGTGATTATAATGACCAGGTGTGATATATAAACCAGGTGTGATATAATGAGCAGGTGTGATATAAACCAGGTGTGATTATAATGAGCAGGTGTGATATAAACCAGGTGTGATTATAATGAGCAGGTGTGATATAAACCAGGTGTGATTATAATGAGCAGGTGTGATATATATAAACCAGGTGTGATTATAATGAGCAGGTGTGATATATATAAACCAGGTGTGATTATAATGAGCAGGTGTGATATATATAAACCAGGTGTGATATATATAAACCAGGTGTGATTATAATGAGCAGGTGTGATATATATAAACCAGGTGTGATATATATAAACCAGGTGTGATTATAATGAGCAGGTGTGATATATATAAACCAGGTGTGATATATATAAACCAGGTGTGATTATAATGAGCAGGTGTGATATATATAAACCAGGTGTGATTATGATGAGCAGGTGTGATATATATAAACCAGGTGTGATTATAATGACCAGGTGTGATATATATAAACCAGGTGTGATTATAATGAGCAGGTGTGATATAAACCAGGTATGATTATAATGAGCAGGTGTGATATAAACCAGGTGTGATTATAATGAGCAGGTGTGATATATATAAACCAGGTGTGATTATAATGAGCAGGTGTGATATATATAAACCAGGTGTGATTATAATGACCAGGTGTGATATATAAACCAGGTGTGATATAATGACCAGGTGTGATAAATAAACCAGGTGTGATATAATGACCAGGTGTGATTATAATGAGCAGGTGTGATATAAACCAGGTGTGATTATAATGAGCAGGTGTGATATATATAAACCAGGTGTGATATATATAAACCAGGTGTGATTATAATGAGCAGGTGTGATATATATAAACCAGGTGTGATTATAATGAGCAGGTGTGATATATATAAACCAGGTGTGATTATAATGAGCAGATGTGATATATATAAACCAGGTGTGATTATAATGACCAGGTGTGATATATAAACCAGGTGTGATATAATGACCAGGTGTGATTATAATGAGCAGGTGTGATATAAACCAGGTGTGATTATAATGAGCAGGTGTGATATAAACCAGGTGTGATTATAATGAGCAGGTGTGATATAAACCAGGTGTGATTATAATGAGCAGGTGTGATATATATAAACCAGGTGTGATTATAATGAGCAGGTGTGATATATATAAACCAGGTGTGATTATAATGAGCAGGTGTGATATATATAAACCAGGTGTGATATATATAAACCAGGTGTGATTATAATGAGCAGGTGTGATATATATAACCAGGTGTGATATATAAACAGGTGTGATTATAATGAGCAGGTGTGATATATATAAACCAGGTGTGATATATATAACCAGGTGTGATTATAATGAGCAGGTGTGATATATATAAACCAGGTGTGATTATAATGACCAGGTGTGATATATAAACCAGGTGTGATTATAATGAGCAGGTGTGATATATATAAACCAGGTGTGATTATAATGACCAGGTGTGATATATATAAACCAGGTGTGATTATAATGAGCAGGTGTGATATATAAACCAGGTGTGATATAATGACCAGGTGTGATATAAACCAGGTGTGATTATAATGACCAGGTGTGATGTGATGACCAGATGTGATATAATGACTAGGTGTGATTAATAATCAACAGGTGTAATTATAATGAGCAGGTGTAATTATAATGAGCAGGTGTGATTATAATGACTAGGTGTGATTATAATGACCAGGTGTGATGTGATGACCAGGTGCGATACAATGACCAGGTGTGATATAATGACTAGGTGTGATTAATAATCAACAGGTGTAATTATAATGAGCAGGTGTAATTATAATGAGCAGGTGTGATTATAATGACCAGGTGTGATTATAATGACTAAGTGTGATTATAATGACCAGGTGTGATACAATGACCAGGTGTGATATAATGACCAGGTGTGATGTGATGACCAGGTGCGATACAATGACCAGGTGTGATTATAATGCCCAGGTGTGATGTGATGACCAGGTGTGATGTGATGACCAGGTGTGATACAATGAGCAGGTGTGATGTGATGACCAGGTGTGATTGTAATGAGCAGGTGTGATTATAATGACTAGGTGTGATTATAATGACCAGGTGTGATGTGATGACCAGGTGCGATACAATGACCAGGTGTGATATAATGACTAGGTGTGATTAATA